TTTTTTTTTTTTGGTGAAGGGGCGGCGAATCAGCAGAGAAACAGTGAAGAGGCCACCACCAAATTTTCATGAATTGTCACTTTCTCTTAGATTCTTCAGAATCCTAACACGTCAGAATCTAACGCTTCACTTGGTATGGAGATATGAAATTAAAGGCGATAAAGAACAATGAACAAACACTTAAAATTTTAAATATACTTTAATCATTAAGTATAAAGAAAAGAGAGGTTACAAAAACTGAAAATTGAAATCAAATCTCTGTGATTTCACTTTGGAAGGCTATAAAAGCACAAGGGAAAAACCCAAAGCTAGTTAGAGAGATTTAAAAACCATAAACTCATTAAAAGCTCAAACTTTCAATCTTCTTCTTCCTCAAAAAAACCAAACTAACACTCATCTAAATGCAAAACCCGGCTTTATATCTTAAGATCTCAACTTAATCCGGAACACATACTTATGCATGTCTTAGATACTAATAACATAAACTCATTATACGAAATGAAATAAAACTCTTCTCACTTGAAAAAACTTAAATATCCTATTAAGCTGCAAAACTTTTCATGGGGCAAGAAGCGATGTTGATCGGGGGAAGTTGATCGAGGAATGGGAAATTAGAGTCACCTAACTCAAGCCCTTCCACATCTCCAAAGTCGAAATCCGGTAGTTCACTCGGACCACTGTCTTCGAATCCGTTAATGTCATCGAGCATACCGAAATCATCAAGCTGCTCATCAGTGAGGAAACAATCAAAGTCTAGGTCATTACCAGCAGCCATTGGTCCTTCCTCAAAGAAACCAAGATCAGGGATTTGCAGATCAGCAAAGTTGAAATCGAACAACACATCCTTGCTCGAATCAACACCAGCATTAGTAGCACTAGTGACCTTAAGAGTGATCTCTTCTTTAGCATTGGCACTAGTGAGAGCTGAAGCTGAAGTGTCTTGCTCAGTGAGAACAACAACAGGTGAAGAGCGAGAGCATTGACTAGTAGTCTCAGATGAGGAAACAGCAGGCTTAGCATTCTGAGACACAGAGACAGAAGTTGTAGTAGTTGTTGTAGTGGAGGCAGCGGCAACAAGTGCATCATACTCAATCTTCCTGTCAATATAAGCTTGATGAGCTTCACCTTCAGTATCAAAAGTACCCAACCATGTCCTAACTTTAGTAATTGGATGTCTAATCTCAGCAGCCCATTTCCCCCATTTCCTCTGCCTAACACCAACAGGCTTCTTAGACAACCTAGGACGAGGCACAACAGTTGCTTTCTTACTAGTAGTCTTAGTACTATCCTGAGAAGAACTCACAGAAGAAGGCTCAATACGAGCAGCAGATTCCAAAGGTGGAAAGTTGATCTCACGAACGATGCGTTTCACTTTACGAGGCTGCTTAGGCTCTTCCTCGTCGCAGGATGAATCATCAGTAGCGTAAGGATCGTTGACAATGATCCTAACTTTTCTCAAAGGTTGGGTTTCTTGAGGTTGTGATAAAGTGTTGTTGCTCCTCTTTGGTTTCTTCATACCACTCAAAGACTGTTGCTTCCTAATCTCTACCATTGTTCCTCAAAAATACCCACAAAATTAAACGAAAACAAAAAAAAACCCCAAAAGAAATCACTCACTTCTCACTGTATCAAAAAAACGGACTTTGTCAAAAAATCTCAGCGAACTATGAAGAAAGAGAATTTTTGCTGCTTTATGTGAAAACCCCCAAATACTTCAACACCAGAACAAGTCCTGCAATAAAGAGAGTCTTTTAAGTTCTTTAAAACTCAAGATCTGTAATAAAATGAAGAAATATTAGAGATGAATTGAATACCTTTTGGGTCTTAAGCGCATGGAAAGAGACGGAAACTGGAGAACAAGCCTCTGCTTAGAGCAGAAGTGAAGAGCGTTTGAGAAAGCAGCAGCCAGAACAGAAGATTTGAAACAAGAAGATGATGAAATCGGACAAGAGATGTTGTTAATCAGAGACAAAATCACAGCCGAATCAAACCCAGCCGACATAAATCACGCGAAACCAAACGCCTTTTTTCGATATTTCCGATTTCCCGAAAACCCTAAAAAACCTCAGTGTTCCTGTTCTTCAGACAAAAACAGAACAACAACTCAGTAACGAAATAAAAAAACCCACACAGCTTAAACCCTAGAGAAACAGAGAGAAAGAGATAAATGGGTTAGAAATCTGGGGATGAGATTTTTTTTTCTTCTGGATATATAAAAAGATCCGTGACGAAATTCAGAGAAAAAAACAGTAAACAAGTGTTAG